TGGGCTCCTGAAGCCCCAGGGGCAGAGGGACTCGGGGTGGGCGCCTAGTGATGCGGGGATAAGTGGATGCCTGGTGCCCGGAGGTAGAGGGGGGTAGAGAGGCTCCGTGGTGGGTGCTGGGTACCCCAGGTGTAAGAGGGGTTCGGGGTGGATCTCTGGTGCCCTGGGTATGAGAGGAATTCGGGATGGATGCTTTGTTCCCTTGGAATGCATGCCTGGTGCCCCAGGGGATAGAGGGGCTCTGGGTGGGCTCCTGATGCCCTGGGGGTAGAGGGGCTCTGGGTGGGCTCCTGGTGCTCTGGGGTAAGAGGGGCTCGGGGTGGGCTCCTGATGCCCTGGGGGTAGAGGGGCTCTGGGTGGGCAGGGGGCAGGGACGGGTGTTCCCTGAGCTCGTGCTTCTCACCAAACCCCAGGCAGAACGGGACAAAAAGAGCGCTCCCAAGGATGGGCTAAAAGGGGGAGTTTCAGTAGGGAGAGTGAAGACACAGGCGTCAAATATAATAATTTTTGTTGTTTTTCTTGCAGCAAAAGGTTTCCCCTTCCCTACTGAGTGATGCCGTTTGCACGCTAAGCAACAACTGCAAATGAAAAGCCATGTGGAGAGCCCTGCGTGTCTTTGCACACATAAATAACCCTTTTAATGTCACTTGAGGGCATGGTGGGTTGGCTACAGATGGGCCTGGCTTCCTCCCCCAAAAAGGAAGATCATATAATCTTTGTGTTCAGGAGGCTGAGGTTTACTCAGCTGGTTTGTGGCAAAATTATGAATCCCAGTGGACGAAATTGCCACGCTTCCCCTCAGTACCAAGCAAGCATTCCAGGAAGGCACCCCTTTACACGTCAGGATAACACTTGGGAGTTTGGGATCAGCCTTCATAGGCTGACGGAACAGCCAAGGAGATTATGAGGCATTTATTTTTCCCCTCTGCTTCCTATGGAAGGCCCAACATGAGCTTCCCTTTTCCTCCCGGTGCCTCCTGATCTCCTCTGCTCAGGATGTCAAACTCACTGGAAGGAGGAAAAACCCAATTCCATGTTTCATTGTGATCTGCAGCCTGGAACATCAATTCAGGACTAAGCACTTTCTGCAGACTGTGCTGAATGACTGTTGTTATCAGTAGGAGGTTTGCGATAAAGGGGAGGAAATTGTGTTTTGATAGTAAATAAAAGTTCCAGAATTATTTATTTTTGCCACGTTCATTTTCAGTAAGTTCCTGTTTGGTTTTCAGAGTGCTGCCTTATCAGCTTATCGCTGTTTGTGCCCTCATTTTCTTACTGCCTTTTTTTGCGTGCTCTGTCTGTGTTTATCCCTGGCACCTCCCATCCAAAGAACCTCACCTGAATTTTTTTCCCAATCCGTGTGCTAAAACAACCCGTCTTTGAGGCTGTAGTGAAGTGTCATTGTAAGTTCTTGCTCTGCTTGGGCTTTGGTCTTTTTAAGGGCAGAAAGATATTTTTGTTGCTGGAAACTGGAATTCCAGCCCCCTGGAGTGTGTGCCGTGGATCACAGAGGGGAATTACCAACCCCACAGTGCTGGCTCTGGTGTGGGAGCTGTGCAGGTGCAGGTGATGAGGTGCAGAAGCCACGTGGGCTCACAGAGCAGACAGCAAATGCTTGTTTGCTGGACATTTTCGAGCACATTCATGGCTAGAAGCAAAGGTAAGAAGAAAAGGGAGGGGAGTACATGGCAGAATCACGGAATGGTTGTGGATGGAAGGGACCTCTGGAGGTCAGATGGTCCAGTCCCCCATTCCAATCAGGGCCACTCAGAGCCCATTGCCCAGGACCATGGCCAGATTGATGGCTCTTGAATATCTCCCTGGACTCTACAACTTCTCTGATCAACCTGTTCCAGTGCTTGGTCACCCTCACAGTGAAAAGGTGTTTCTCCTTATGTTCAGGAACCTCCTGTGTTTCATTTCGTGCCCCTTGCATCTTGTTCTGTCACTTGGGCACCACTGAAAATAGCCTGACTCTGTCCTCTTTTCACCATCCCTCCAGACATTTATATACATTGATAAAATCCTCTCCATGAGACCCCTCTTTCCCCCCCCTTCCCTCAACCTTTCCTCATATGAGAGATGCTCCAGCCCATTAATCATCTTCGTGGCCTTTCACTGGACTCTCCTCAGTGGGGACACAGCATTTCAGGTGTGGTCTCACCTCTCACCCCTGTTGGGTAGAGGGGAAGGATTTACTCCCCTCAACCTGCTGGCAGCACTCCTCCTAATACAGTTGAGGACACCATTGGCCTTCTTTGCTGGAAGGATATTAGTTGGCTCATATTAAATTTGCAGTTGACTAGGACCCACAGGTCTTTCCAAAAAGCTGCTTCCCAGCCAGCTGGCCCCCAGCATGTGCTGGTGGCTGGAGTTGTTCCTCCCTGTGTGCAGGACTTCATGGATCCCCTTGCTGAACTTTGCAAGGTACTGTCAGCCCATTTCTCCAGCCTGTCCACGTCCCTCTGGATGGCACAACAACTCCCTGCTGTGTCAGCCATGCCTCCCAGTTTTGTGTCACCAGGAAATTTGCCAAAGGTACACTCTGCCCCACCATCCAGATCATTAATGAAGCTGTTGAACAGGATTGAACCCAGTATTGGCCCCTGGGGTCACCACTAGTTACAGGCCTCTATCAGTCTTTGTGCCATTGATCATCACCCTCTGGGTCCAGCTGCTCAGCCAGTTTTCAATCCACCTCACTGTCTACTCACCCAGCCCATATTTCATCAGCTTCTCCATGAGGATCTGATGGCAGACAGTGTCAAAAGTCTCAGCAGACAATGTCCACTGCTCTCCCCTTGTCGACCAAACCAGTAATTTCATTGTATGAGTTTATATTGCCTTTGGTGAAACCCTCCTGATTGTGACTGATCACCTTGTTCCTCAAAGTGTCCAGGCTTAGCTGCTCCATCACCTTCTCAGGGATCAAGGCAGGGCTGACTCCTGGCATCCTCCATTCTTCCTTTCTTGGAGTTAGGAGTGGTGTTTGCTTTCCTCCGGTCCTTGGGCACTTCTCCCAGTTACCATGATCACTTAAAGATGATGGAGAGTGGCCTTGTGATGAGATCTTCCATCTCCCTCAGCACTTGTGGGTGCATCCCATCAGGGCCAGTGGACTTACATATGTCCCATTTGCTTAAGTATTCCCTGACCTGATCCTCCTTCACCAAGGGTACATCTTTGCTCCATACTCTCACCTTGGTCTCTGGAGCCTGGGATTCCTGGAGGACCATAACACCAACATTTAATACAGTATTTTAGAATAAGAGGGCTCAGCCTCTGGGAGGAGGATCAAGTTGCTGCCTGAGAAGCAATTTGATAATTTTGTGTTATAAATACATTGTCCACATTTGCACCTATAAGATTAACAAGGCCAGAACATGGTTTTATCTGCTGCAGTTGGTTCACTGTAAGGATACAAGAAGAATGGGCTACTTAGGGGTCAAAGTATTTGCTTGGGGCACAGGGAGAGCCCACACTCAACTCACTGACCAGA